ACTGCCCTGCATCAGGATGGCCCTGCGGCCCCCGCAGTTAGCAGCCCAGGCTGGACTCCCGGCCCCACCGCTAGCTAGACGCTGTGTGACCCTGGGCAAGTGACGCGACCTCCCTGAGCTTCGGTTTCCTCATCTGTAAGCGGGGGAGAGCTGAGTGCCACCGCACACAGGAGGAACGCCCAGCACGTGGCCGCCCCCGCTCGGCGTCTGTTAGAATCAGGAGGGACCCCGGAGCCCTGGGGTCACCTGACGTCCCTCCTGCCAGCTGTGCAACAGGAGCTTCTCCCCGTCAACGGCAAACACGTGGTCCCGCAGGCTGTGTGATCTCTGCCACGTGACGCGTGGGAGCGCGTGGGAGCTCCTTCCGTGGGCGCCCTGAACGCTTTTCCATTGCGGCTTCAATGTGCGTCTCTCTTATTCCAGACTTGGAATCTGCAGTTTGCCAGTTGCTCGCTCGTCTTGGCAGTTGGTCTGTGTAGAGTCTCTCTTCTCGGATCCTTTGGGTAATTCCTGTTTTCCTGGAAATCCACCCATTTCGTGGAGGCTTCCTGACCGGGCTGGACGGAGCCAGGTGGCAGGCTCCTGTGCCCTCTCGCTGTCTGTTCCCCCCTCTTCACTGCCCGGTACTGGCCCTGGGGACGTAGCAGTGGCCAACACCGATTAAAAGCCCTACTTTTATGGAGCCTACGGACAGAAAAATCCGCTCATAAAATAAATGCACTGTCAGATGGTGATAGTGCTGGGGAGAAAGACCGGGCGGAGCAGCAGGGAGTTTCTGATGGGACGAATGCGTCTTGAGTAGGTGGTGGGACAGGGTCCCCGTCACGGGACAGGAGGTGAGCGAGCCAGCTGTGTTCATCTGGGAGAAGAGGCCGGGCCTGCAGGTGCGGGTGCGGATCCGCCTGGCTCCTCCGGAGAACCGGAGCCAATTAGATAGAGACGCATAAAGAGATTTGCTCTGGGGACGTGGGCCCTGCAGTGATGGGGGCGGGGAAACCCCCAGCCCTGCGGTCGGCAAGCTGGAGACCCCGGGGAGCAGATGGGTAAGTTCTGGTCGGAGTGTGAAGGCCTGAGACCCGGGAGAAACCGGGTGCGAGTTCCCGCCCAAGTGCAAGTGCGAAGGCAGGGAGCCCGAGGGCCCGGCTCAGACACGGCCGGGTGGCTCCGTTGGTTGAGCAATGTCCAGTGCGCCGGGAGGTCAGGGCTTTTGGTTTGCATTTGTTTGTTATATTTCTGCCCATCCTGTTTTTTTTAAAAAAAATTTTGATAAAGCACATAACAAAATTTACCATTTTATCCATTTTAAGTGTACTTCCGGCAAGTGCGTGCGGCTTTTTAACATTTACTGACACGGCAGACGCAGTTGGTCTTAGTTCTGTCATCATGGTTTATGATTCACTTTCCGCTTCTATGGCTTTTGTAGGATTGTCGGTTTTCACCATATGGTCTCTGTTTTCTTTGTTTTCTTCTTTATGTGCATGTCTCCTGACAACTTGGAAAGCTGTGTGCTTCATCCCATGGTTATCTCAGGCTTGCGCTGTGCTGTGTCACCCTTAGTCGTCTGTTTCCTTAGACAATGTTTATTTTCTCCCTGTTAGAACAATGTCCAAATTAAAGTATTTCTACTTTCCCCTCTCCCTCCAAATGATTTTAGTTGATTATATTATTTTTCGTACCTCTGCTGTGACTTACACCTCTAAACGAGTCTTTAGACTCCGACTGTCAGTGAATAAGAGACGGTTATCTCTCCTTCTCACCTCTGTATTTATTATTTATATCGGTTCTGTTTTCTCTTTCATGCTTTTCTATAGTAGTCCCATCCGTAGATTTGCTTCAGACATAGCCCTACGGTGAAATAGATCCTCACTGCAGCGCTCTTGCCGGAGTTACTCCATCTGCCCCAAGTCTGCCCCTTAGTAATTTATATAAGAAGGGCTCCTGGGAACTTTAATTCACAAATATGTTCAGAAATTGTTTCCGTTGACTCTTTGCTTAAAAGATGGTTCATCTGGGCTTTAAATTCTTCGTTCATTCATTCCTCCCTTGAACACATATTTATTAAGCCCTCACTACGTGTCGGTTACTGTTCTAAACCCTGGCGATACAAAAATAAACACAGCACGCAAAAACCTTGGGCTTCTCGTAGCTAGTAAGCGGGAGGTAAGTGGTAAACGAGACCCAGTGAAATACGAGGTGTGCCGGAGAGAGACGTGCGGGATGGAGAAAGATGAAGCAAGTGGCGGGGGACTGGGACCCAGCTTGGTTCTGTAAAGCAGAGGAGAAGGCTCCATGGGGTCTTCTCACCCTGAGCCCACACACGTTCCCAGGGATGCAGAGTTGGGGGTTGACGCAGCACCCTTGAAGTATTACGGGCTCCAGAAAGATGGGCTGTGCTGACTTTGTCAGAGCCCTTCCCTCAGCCGCCTCCCTTGCCCCTGATAACATGCACTGGAGCTTGGTTGAAGATGGTTTATCAGTTAAGAGCTTTAATAAGATGTAGGTAAGTAGCCCTGGCCGGTGTGGCTTGGTTGGTCGGGCGTCGTCCCGTGTGCTGAAAGGTTGAGGGTTCGATTCCCAGTCGGGGGTATACAGGAGGCAGCTGGCCCATGTTTTGCTCTCACGTCGATATTTCTCTCTCCCTCTCTCTTGCTCTCTCTCTAAAAATTAATAAAAAATTCTTAAAAATGAAAGGATACAAGTAGCAGAAATCCAGCTGCTCTTAGTGTGGAGGTGGGCGGTTGGCGCCACCACCAGAACCAGGTTTCCCCCTGCTTTCAATGTCACTCGCATTAGCGAGGGCCCTTCGTTCTTGTGCTCTTACTAGATTTGTGTCCCCTCTCCCTCGAGTCGACTTCCACTTACATGGCATTGGCCAGATGGGGTCGTGGGATCGCCCCTATCTGCAAGGGAGCCTGGGAAGGTGAGCATTTGTGACTGGGTAATCGCCCTGCACGTGGAGGTGAGGCAGGGAACTCGCTAGTGCCCCCCACGGAAGGCGTTTGCGTTTCTGTTCCTCATTGTCACTGTTTGGAGGTGATTTTTGAGAGGAGAAAGGACTTAAGCAACTCAACTCTGCCAATCAAAGCTGCAAATGCCCTGTCCCTATGCCAGGGGTGCCTAGTTTCCTCTCCATGGCTTTGTTTGATATGATCATATCCAGTGGTGTGATGCAAAGATTCATAATGGTTTCTATTGCAATTATGAATGATATCAGGATCTGTTCTTAATAATTTTTTGTTTGTTATAGCAAGGGTGACCATGTAGCGTATCACCAAAATTGGAAAACTTTTGTGTGTGAAAGGGGAACAATATTAAAAACGATGTCAGGACAAAAGGTGTTAACTGGGACTTTCCTGAGCCAAGACGTGTTGTTGAGGTAGATGAACACCGTTGGTTTTGTAAGTTGACCTGATGTCTCACAGATTGAAAATTATGTCTTTATATCTCGGTCTCTGTTCTAATAATTAGCCTGTTGATTCTCTTGGATTTCCTACGTGTAATACCTGCACGTAGTGTCTTTTTGTCCACTCCTGACACGCTATGCTTTTTTTCTTGTCTTATTGCGTGGGACGGGGGTGCTAGTACTATAGGGAACTGTCTGTCAGCAGGCTTGCTTGTCTTGCTTCCAGTCTTAAAGTCAAACAGTTCTCAATATCCGAAGGTAGGCTTAGAGAAAAACTGGCTTCTCCTGGCACCGAGGCCGGAGAGAAATGTCCCCAGTGTGTCCCCATGGAGGAGACACCATGTGATATTTTGTTTCCTTCTGCACCCCCAGAAAACCCTTTTGCCGTGCCTCAGGATGGGGGAGATGAGACCCGAAGCACCCGGCGCAGCCTCTGAGAAGAACAACTTCAACAGAGACGCCAGGGAGAGCCGAGGCGGCCGCAGTGGTGGCAGAGAAGGAAATACCACCTGTGCCCAACACCCCCTTCTGCAGACTCCTACGAAGAGAGCAAACTCAGGGGCGGGGGCCCGGGGGTGCAG